TTTTGGTTTTTTGTTTTTTTGTTTGGCTTTTTTGAGCTGCTGGTTTTTTTTTTTTTTGTTTTGGAGTTTGGTTTTGGTTTTTTGTTTTTTTGTTTGGCTTTTTTGAGCTGCTGGGCAAGATCTAGGCAGATTTTWGTGGTCAGATGTACAGAATGAGACAATTTCCCAATAGCTGTTGCCACCAGCTGTAGCTCAAAGCCCAGATGGAATCAGGGATGGAGGATATATTTGTTCCCCAATGGAAAAGCAGAGCTAATTATTTAATCAACATTCCCCTGACCCCAGACAGGAGCCCCTCAAAGCCATCAGGTCCCCTGAAAGGCTTTGTTCTGATGTGAAAAATGAGGAAATTGAGATAACATTGAAGTTTTTCTTTCAAGAACCAAGAATTATTTTGTGTTTTGCAAATGGAAGGGTGTGCCATTTCCTGTGACTCACAGAAACTCGTGAGGAGTGGAGAAATGACTTTTCCAAGGGCAAAAGGGTCCCCAGGGAGCAATGGGTTGTTCCTTCCCCTGCTCTTTGTGCTGGRACACTCCATGGTACCCTTTAAAAGTTTGCACATGTAGGGATGAACATCTTCTCATCTTTATTTCTGATATAAACAGAACTTTCAAAAAGATACCAGACCAGTCCTGGAGATTGTGTTTGGAAGAAATACCCCAAACCTTCCAGAATCTGAGCCAGCACAAATTGGTGGTAGAATTGTTTGTTTACTCTTAAATCCCCAAATCAAAGTTTTACTCTGTGGACAGAATAAAATTTCAATAGCATGAGAGTGGAGGAAAAAGAACCGACAACTTTTATATTCTGCAGCTCTGGGTGTAATTTATGTTCTTTTTAATACCATTCTTCTATTTGTAGTTAATAGGGCAGGTCTAATTCTCAGTCCTAAAGAAGTTTAGAACCTTGATTAATTTACATTCACAAAAGACTTTGAGATGCTGAAAGGAAGCATAGGAAGTGTAAATTGAGGAAAATGAACTCTCAACATTCAGATGAAATWTCAAATATGTAGCTAATAGAAAAAGAAAACAAAAAAAAATACTCATTATTTAGAGTCACTTTGTGAGTTTACAGTAAAGACTGTCAGGACATCTGAGATGATGGGAAAAARCAGAATTTGGCTATTTTGTGAGGAKTAGCACACGTGTATATGYGGGTTTGTAATCTCTAGATTTTGTYTGGRTAAATTTGTGGAAATTAGTCTTACTGCAGATATACACACACTTTATTTAAACATTCAGTTGTGTTTAATWTTCTGTTCATTTCCATTTTATCATRTGTAAAATGTGTGTGATTTCCTTCTAAAATTGCTAAAGATTTCTCTATAAAAATCAGCAACTGATCTCTAACAGATCCCCACTGCTCTTTTTCTGTTTGCCTGAACCACCAAGAYGTAGAAAACATTGAGAGGAGAATTCTAATGAATTGCTCTGGGGAATTTTTCTCAGTTCCTTCCTCACATCTTTCCTTTCCATCCTTCCTTCCTCATTCAAATCATTCCATTTCTGTCTCTTTATAGAGCAGTGTTTCAGGAGCCTGTGTATGGCAATAAGTTACCCCAGGTATGACACCTCCAATGGGAAAACCTCACCATGCTGGACGTAGATTGGTGCAAAATCATACAGATACTCCAATAATTATCTGAGATTATGGATTCTGTGTGTGCAAGTGGCAAAAATAGTCCACCAGTTGCATTTAATGTTCCAGATTCGGACAAAAAGTCACAGGTAGTGACAATGTTCTGAATTTTTAAAACTCCTTTAGCTGCTGTAACACTGTTTTATCATTGTTTTGGAAGTAGCAAATATGGGAGCACAGATAAGGCAGTAGATATTTTTTTTCATTGTAGTATCTGAATTTATTATTTTAGCTGAATTTTCAAAATAATAATCCAAAGCATAACAGTCAGGTATTTTCTCCCTGAACGTAAAGATAAGGGGGGAAATAAAGAATTCCTAAAATATTTCTAATACATAGGAACTGAAAATTGTTATTCATTTTTATGCAATTATTGCATAATTTTGTTCTAAGTATTTTATTTTGCAATATAGTCTAAGGTATGAGGATAAATGTATCACATTACCCAAGAGATGCAGATGTAGTGAGGATTACTGGTGTATTCTTCATCTAAGGTATCAATCAAGTTCAAAATTAGAGGAAAATTCTCAAGTAGAATTTATCACAGAAGTTGAGTTGAGGGRTTTGAAGCAGATTCCCACACCAATTCCCTGTGTAAAGGGAATTTCCAAGTGTTTTCTTCCTACAACAACCAAAATTCACCTGAAATAATTGAAACAAAACAATTGAGAAAACTTCTACACCACCAAAATTGCAGAACACAACCCCCATAAAAAAATTGCTCAAGCATATTTTAGTGTGTAATTTATCATAGTTTATTTTATAATTAGGAGTTCATGACATGGGAAGGTAGGGAATTAGGTTTTCCCTGATCCCCAGATACATCCCGCTTTTTAGTTCTCCAGAGAATTCAGGCAAATTCAATACCTCCAATCTCTTTTTATTTGTATTGCTTTACTCTCATTCTTGCCAGGGCTCTCATAAATGTCAGCTTGATTGCCAAATCCAAAACATCTTAATAAAGTTCAGAGTTGAGCTCCTCTTGTGCAGCAGAAATCCTCTGAAAGCAAATCAAAACATGAGCACAAAAGGAATGTAGCTCTTACACTGAGGGAGCAAGAAAGGGTCTGCCATCACAGCCTGACTGATTTTTGGTGATAAATAAAAGAAGGAACCAATCCTCCCAGAGCCCAGCAGATTTCAGATCAGCCTGTTTAATTTTTCTGCCATTCAGAGCTGCTCGTGGTGTCCTGCTCTCAATTCCACAGCGTGCTGGGAGCTGGGCTGGGCTGGCCTGGGGTGGCTCTTGCTTTTCTCTGCGGGGTTTTARGAGTGGACAGCAGGACAAGCAAGGGAGATGGACACCCCAGGGAACAGAGCCCTGCCAGGCTGATGGTGTGCCACCCAGAGATGGGCATGAAAACAGGCTCAGCATCTTCCTCAAAAAAAAAAAAAAAAAAGGAAAAAAAGGTGTCATATTTAGCCCTCAAAACCCAAGAGAGGAGAACAGCTACATTTATATCCTCTCTCCCTTTGGCAGAGGCCAGCCCAAGTGTGCAGTTTGAGTTATCTCCTCTCAGCTTTGCTGTTTGTTGGCTCAGCTCACCCCTGGTGACATTATTTGACATCCCAAGGCCTGCACTGCAGCAGTGTGTGCCTGGTACACGTTTCTGAGGGTGCAAACCTGCTGGTTTATCAAACCCAAACCATCCAAAATGAGAGGGTGTTTTGTCTCAAGCAAAGCAGAGGGCACRTGGGGTGTCAAGATATCCTTATCCCTGCCTGTTCCAAGTTGTGTGACACAATTGCTGCTGGCAGCGAGCTGGCCAGGAGCAGGGAGGGACAGCTCCTGTTCTCTGTGTGAGAACTTAAAAAAAAAAAAAAAATCAGAAAGAATGTTCCTCGAGAAAGCTGACAATCCAAGCCTGGAGTTTCTAATGAGCTGTCAGGGTATGTAAAAGTGGTGTTTATTCCTGGGGTGATGTGGCATTGTCAGCTGAGCGATTGATTTCCAAACCCAGCCTGCTGCAAATCTTCAAGCCCACAAAGGTTTAACACCTGTTAGGGATGAAAGCTGTTCTGCCAGGCAAAGTGGGGAAGGGGAAATAGCTTGTAAAAATAGTTCAGATGGCTTTTCTGAAAAGAGTGAGTCTTTATTTGCAAAATCAAAACAGAAAACCCATAAAAAGTCATTGCAGCTAGTAAAAATGTGCTGCTGTTACAGTAAAGGCTGGCACATCATGGCCTATTCTTCCTGCTTCAGCACAATATCTTGGGTGAATGCAGCCTTCCAAAAAAAAAAAAAAAAAAAAAAAAAAAAAAAAAAAAAAAAAAAAAAAAAAAAAGGAAAAAAAAAAATCAATCCATTAAAGCGAGCACTTCAGCAAAAGAGTGAATTTTACTCAAAGCTGAGTGAGCTGCCAGTGTCTTACTCAGCTCTTTGCTAAGGAGGGGGTAGGTGGGGAAGGCAGCCCTGCAGCCCCCTGTCCCAGAGGGTGCTGGGGGAGAATTCTAATTGGGACGTAAATCGTGTTTGTGTTATCAGCGGGGCCGGGGCTGGGGCTGTTAATTGGCATGCTGAGATCATTTGGAAATGGTTGATATCACACCGTGGTCCATTGAACAGGAAGCTCTGCTGTTTTCACAGTTTGATAATCAATGCATCACTGCACTCAATTCCTTTCCAATGTGTGTTTGTTTGTCCTGTTTGCTTAATTGAACAGCTGGAATTACTGTTACATGCAACTGAATGTTAATTCATGGAAGAAGAGAATTTTGCTTYTTCATTATAATTTTATGTATAAATTGGAAACCTATGTAACATTAAGTGTTAATTGAGTGCACAAATTCATAGGCTTAATCAACCAGGCATGATAAATCAAATTTTGTACTGAAAAAGAATTGATTATTAGCCAAGTTTATCTTTTAAGTTCAGCTTTGCTTTGTGAATATACATACACTTGGTTCAGGAGAACAATTGCTACTTCAAAACTTGAAGAAGAATCCACTATTGTCTTGTAAAAAAAAGCTTTCACTGATCAATATAGTCCATTGCTTTCTCCTGRTCTCTGGGACAGGTCTTCAAAAGTTTGTGGTGCTCGATTTTCGCTTAACCCTTCACCGGAATATTCCCTTAACATTTCACTGCGGTATTTCCTGTACGTTTACCCGAGCTGCAGCATGACTGTACCTTTCCAACTGTTGTTCAATTGTTGCAAAATGTGATTGAAGGTGCCACAGCAACGCAGTTAGAGCGTGAGTTTGTGTTTCAGGGTGGTTATGCTGCCTACCGGTATGCCCAGCCTGCCACTGCCACTGCAGCTGCCTACAGTGACAGGTAAGACCTTTCCTCTCACAAATWTCTGACCAGTGGAACTTTGAAGATGATTCTATAAACCTGCCTTGTTGAAGTCTCATAACTGTCTTGTTGCTCTGCAGATAACTGTGATATCCAAAGCAGGCTGTTTTGTTTTTTTTTTAATTATAATCCATGAATAGCCGTAAATTGAGAGATTTTGGGCCTTTAATTGAGAATCAGGCCTGAGATGTGCACATTCCCCAGCTGTAGATCATCCACTTAATGCCCGTGACCCCTGTACAACCTAGGTAAATAAATGTACAGATTCATGATGGTCTGCTGCTAAGKATCATTATTTGTCCTGGGAGTATTATTTCAGTTGATTTAGGACCTTGAACCTATCGAGTGCCCTCAATTCTCATTGACGTTGTTTTAGTCAGTGGAAATTGAGAATGAACTGTGTCTAAGCTCGAACTACCCAATGCAAACCACTATTTTTTTTTCCATTTGCTTTTTTCCCAGGCATTTGATTTTTTTTGGTGCTGGGATTAAAAAAAAAAAAAAAAAAAAAAAAAAGTGATTTTTCTTTTGCTCTGTATTTTGATTCTCAAATTGTGAACCACATTTGGTGGAAACAAAGGTTATTAAAATCTTCRCATTCAAAGACTTAACTTTTCTTAACCAAGAATGATGTCACATATATTAGTTGTCTTTTTCAAAGATGAATACTGGAACCCCTTGGAAGTCAATGTCTAAATTGCTCTTGACTTCAGTAGAAACAGGATTTTATCAAACTGCATAAAACAAAGTCTTTGCAGTGTGTGGGCATGATTTTGTAATGAGAAGGAGAAATTATCCTACGTTTTCTTCATAAACTGTACCCTTAAAATCTATTCTATCTTGAATGTTTTTAAAGTACTAGAGGAGTGTTCCCTTGCAGAGGGAGGGTGTATATCGTGACAGACACACTTTTAATTTGCTTCATGATGGCAGTGAGAAGTAAGGTCACGCTTCTCAATACCTGCTACCAGAAAATTTTCCCTTGGAATAATGGAAATAATATCTTAAGCCTCAAACAAATATTGAAAAAAAATCTTTAAGTGCTGAAATAGACAGTGTTATAAATGCTTCTGTTTCTTAAAGAAATCTTAAAGAGATTAAGAAAATCTAGCACACAATTTCTTAGATCGAAGTGCTGTTCATGGATTCTGTACTTTTAGAACCAAGTCCCATGGTATGAATGTTACAATGCTATGCATGCATATTTGCCTTTCAAGTGCTTATTCTGGGTAATGAAGATATATTTTTTTTAAAGTTATGTGACTAAAGTAATTTGCATGTATGGCTGAGGCATGCTGTGTCAGACAGGTAAGCAAGCTACTTTCTATTGATTTTGGGTCAGTGATATCAACTAGATCTGTGCTGTGTGCACTTTGTTGGCAATGTACCTTTTCTACTTAGGGTAACCTGCACAGGTGAACTGCTCCTCAGTAGTTTCATTTCATTTCCACAAAGGTTTGTTAGCATGTCGCAGCTCTAGGGATTTTTTTCTGCGAGCTTACAACGCAAAACAACTCCTGCTCCTGAAAGCTTTATTAAACCAAAAGGATAAAATTAGAAATAACCTCCTGTGGGCAGTCAGGTTTTGCCAGCCATTGCTCAGGTGTCCCTGGATCCTTTTATAGGGTGYTTATTATCAAACCTCTACATTACATAGGGAACTGAACAATATCAAGCCGACTTTTAAATGCTTTAACTATGAATTGATGTGCCTTCTCATAAACCAGATCAAATGCTGTGAGATAAAATACCAGTTGGTCACATGTTCTGCTATGGGCAGAGAGTTAACAGCACAGGCAGCTATGCTGCCAAAAAGGTAAARGATTTGTTTAGGAAGATAGTACTCTTAAATGCTGTAAAGGAAGCTTGAGATGCCATCAGTAGTAATGCAGTTGTTACAATCCTTAATTATTTTTTTGAAAAAATTGTCTAATTTTCAGATACACTTTGTGTATAATTAGAATTGCAATAACCTGTCTTTGCTTGCATAATTTTAGATATCTTAAATGAATTTTATACCTTTTGGATTTTTTTTTTTTTAATTTAGCTTCTCTTTAAATGTGGTTAACCCTCATCTTCGATCTGTTTCCCCCAAATGAATATGGTTTCTTGTCTTAATTACAAATCTCATAACTGAATTTCTTGATGAGAGAATCCAAAACTAGCGTAGAGAACAAAACAAATAACAATCTGCTCAAACATTTCTTTGCACRTGGGAARCTATGTGCAAACATGGATGCCTCTRATTGCTCACAACTACAGTTTGTTTAACTTCATTAACTTTTTGTTCATTTTTAAATKAATTTAATCTAGCTACTTTTGTGAAATTACTAATATTGAAACTGCTGAAATAGAGCTCAGTACARCTTCTTGCATCTTGTCTTCTCAATGTAATAATCATCTCTTCTCCTCTAACACTGAAGATTCCATATCTCCTTATACACTTACTTAGTGTTCATATGAGCCCCTATTTAATTTAATTACACACCAACTATATTCACTGKTTATGTAAAAAATGATGCCCAGAGAAACTGAGTACCACTGAGTATTTACCACTGAAGCAGTGACATGTGGAAAAACTACTTCATGCTAATTTWAAAAAWWTTTTAAAGTTTTATTTTTTTGGTCACCACTCATATCCATTATGAATGGCAATGTTCCATATTTGAAATGCTTATTAAGTCAGGAAACGGAAAGCGGAAATCCTTAGGTTGGAGACATGTTTTGGTAAATTAAAATAAAGGTTAACAGAAAGATTTGGAACTCCAGAATCAATAGACCAAGTCGATTGATAATGATCACTGTGAGAGGGCTCTCTTGTGAAGAAATGCAATGGTATCCTTGTTTGTCACAGTTGGAAATATTGCTGGAAATAGGCGAGGAACAGATATACAGGAGAGAATTAGTTTGCACAATCAGTGCAAACTCTTAAGTATTTGTTGAGACAGATCATGTGCTCCGAAACCCAATTTCACAATGGAGGTAGGCCTGGCAGACCTYTCCAGTCATTTCTTAGGATCATAAAACAAAACCAACAAAGAAACAGGTACATTTTGGTTTATTTATGAAGCAATACTGTCACTAGATACAACTTCAAAAAAATTCAGACTTCAATTTTTATACTGTGGGATCTAGCATACTAAACTGCATTTACGGATTTGAAGGTGTTTGCAGAAGTGGATCCAAAAAAATAATGTTTAACTTGCCAAGCTTTAAAATATTCCTGCTAAGTTTTCCAATTAGTATAAGTGCTAAAAGGGGACCTACTGGTCTATATATATGTGTTCTTCTCCAGTCTGAAACTTTCCTGGCAAACTCTCTAAACTGAGTATATTTGGAAAAAAAAAAAAAAAAAAAAAAAAAACACCACAAAAAACCAAACAAAAAAAACAACCTGTAAGGATGTGCAAAAGACACTAAATCTGATGTCAATAAAATGATTGTACAGATTGTATTCATCTTTTACGCAGTATTATTTAAAAAAAAAAAAAAAAATAGCAGTCAGATTTCTGTCCAAGTCTGAAGTAAGAGAGAAGTAGCAAGGCCATCCCGTTTTGTACCCCCAAGGCAGAGGGAGTCRGCGCATGGCAGTGGGGCGTATTGTCATTTTGTCATTGCATGTTCACTCRGTGTCGCTGGTATGTCTGTAATGCTGGACTGGATTGGACAGCCCCATCACACAGCTCAGTGAATGGCTTGCTTGAACTAAGCCTACGGGCAGCCTTCCCCCCTTGACTGGCTCTGGGTTTGTGTCCGTGATTGACCATTGCATCTCGGTGGAGCAGAGCAGCGCTCGTTCCTGGCGCGGGGTTGGCGGTGTTTGCGGTGTTTGTGGGGACGTGGAGAGGCACAGCCCTGGCACCAGGGAGGCMCTGCCATCCCGTGTGCTGCTGGCTCTGCTGGGCAGGGCACAGGTGTGTTCATACATGGATGCTGTGTGCTGATCCATGCATATGCACACGTTCCCATCCATCACGCACACACGCACGCACCGTGTGCATTCCCTTCCTCGAACAGCGCCAAGTTTAAACCTCACTCCAAACTCTGGGAAGATTCCCACTGACCTCTTTGTTGTCTGGATCAAATCCCTCATCACTGGAAGCTGACTTGTTTTTTCTTTTTCTTTTTTTCTTTTTTTTTTTTTTTTTTAATAAAATAGGTCATATTCCAAAATATTTTGCACACAACACTTCATAGTATAAATACCTTTTGGGTTATTTTTTTTCCCTTCCATTATTGATTTGTGTTACTTTGTTCTGTGGTTATATCTAGAGCTTTATATGTAATTTGAGAGATAAGGCTTTGTTATATGGAAATTATGTATCTTCCAGATCTGAAATCTTACTCCTGCTAAAATCCTGATATTCTCATAGTTGGCATTTTTAACAATATGTATTCATATTCATTTGTCAAAGCTGCAGGGTCTATAGAGACAGAGTTTAATATATTTTCCAGTTCTCCGTGGGTAATTAGTTGAGATAATACTTGATATTTGTGATCAGGTTATCCTAAAATAGAATAGGTACAGATTTGATTTAATTGTAAGCATGCTCATTAAAGGATGAAAATTTAGAAGGAAGAGTAAAAAACCAGAAGTTATAAAATGTGAGCTTCTCTAGATGGAGGGGGTTTTTTATTATATTGTGGACTATAATATCTTCTACTTTATGATTAAACAATGAAAACCACTATAATTTTATTCAAATTATTTTCTTATTGAAGATTACTAGAGATATATACTAAAAATCAAGATTTTGATTGCATATAAAACATAATAGCATCTTGAGCCAGAATTTAATTTTCCATTAAACAATTTTATAGAAGCATAAATATTTTAAAATCTAGTACTTCATCCATTTCATGATGTACTTTCTAAGATTAAGGAGAAGGAGCTTCAAGACACAGTTTTAGTTTCTAAAGGAATCAGGTTGTAAGAGAAAAAAAAATAAAATATAGTGATAACTTTTCAACTCCCATCC